CAAGTGTTTTTTTTTCACATAGATAATGCTTTGTAGCTTGCTTATCATTATCTTTCTTTCACATTACCTGTGATTCTTTTCTGTGATATTGCTGATGACTTTGTCGACTTTTTGGTGTTTTTTTTTTTCAGCTGATTCGAGTGATTAATCTTTTGCTCTTTCCTCTCTCCTGAAGAACGGTGATTTTTGATAGCTCTGAGTTTATTCTTTTATATGTATGTTCATTATGCTGGCTTATTCTTCTATATTTAAGGGAAAAGTAATTTCACTGATATTTTTATGATGGGCTTGGCGTGTGAGAGCATTCCAATGACACTATTAATATCGCCATCGATTGTCCAGACGGTTTTGGTGATTGTTTGTTTGTTTGTGTGTGTGTGTGTGTGTGTGTGTGTGTGCATGGCTCATTTTTGATTTAAAACTGAATGTATTCTGCTACTTAGGCGTAATAATGTAGGCTTAATTTCTAAATCATCGGATGTCTTTCTCTTGTAATAAATGTTCCTTTCGCTGAATGTTTGTTCTTGTTGGTGGAAGACTTTTTTCCATGTAATTTATTTGGTAATATATTTCTTCGCGTCTGACCAGGATGACTGACAATTGTTTTGTATTGACCGAAGTTACATCTCCCCGATGGTCAGTTTGCTGATGGTTATCCCGTTTGTTTCCACACTTTCTTTTTCCCTTGTTGCTTCATCATGGAACGCCTGATTCCTTCCCTCCGTCTCACGATGGCCATCATTCGTTGTTTGGCCAAGCCCTGGAACACTATACTGCACGGGTAAAAATATCCGAAAGCAGGCTAAGAGGCGCAGCAAGATCTTTCATATGTACGGGCACTTTAACAAATTTCCAAGTGCCAATTGTGTTAAAGGGTAATCGAGATTAACTCTTATTTCGCATCCTGGTTTACCGGTTGTGCAGCTGGCGTTGTTTAAAGTTGCTTCTTGGTAAAGCCTGCCTCTCTTTCCAATTCCTAATCCCAAGCAAGTTCTCAGCTCCGGCCAGTAAGTATCACGGTCCTTCTCCGTTGCGACCCTCGAGACCTAAGCTGTTGTGTCCTCGTCTTCTCCGATCTCCTTGTCTCCGCCCTATAGGCCGTGAACCTCACTTCCTAATCACTGCAGTTTGCATCCTGTGAGGCTGAGCTGAGTTTTAGTAAACGTCGTTACTGGGCTGCGTCTACAAGCATGGCGAGTCAGACGAGTTCCTGAACAGCTTGTCTTCGCATAACATCTGCTGTCTCTGTTGGTATTTTTGCTCTACCTCTTCGA